GGTGGGGGGGTGGGAAGGATGCCTTGGAAGGTACCAAACAGCTTCAGCTGACCTGAAGGTTCCAAGAAAGCAAACCTGGTTTTCCTCATCATCTTTTTATTTGCGTATACCCGTGAAAGCGATGTGCGAAGAAGCCTGAAAACTTCTGCCTGTCTGGCATAGCAAATTCCCTGATGAAAAGGAGATCTCTGAACTTTCGTTGGTCATATTTCAGGTCTCAAGCTTTTCTAGAGGAGAGTAACAAGTCACTGGACTCTCTTCCCAGGGCTGAGGGAAGGGAGAGCGTGTCTGCACGGCTTCCGTAGGGTGTTGGGAAGAATCTCCTTTATCAGAGGCTGAGAGGAGGTGCCAGGGCATGTCTCGGACTTGAGCTGCTGCAGGAAGAGGAGAGAGTGTTGCTTGCGTTTGGTTTCTTCTTGTTTTGACGTGGTTTGAAGGCGAGGAGCTAAAATGCCTCCTCCTGCAGAGCTGCTCCCTGTTTGAGCGAGGGGCTCGGATGCGCTTAGCTGAAGAAAATGAAGGAAGGGCCGATAGCGTGCACCAAACACCGGGCAGGACCGAATGTGTCGGGTGAAAACCGTACTGATCCCTCCATCTCTCCTGCTGTCAGCCCGTGCAGGGGTGTAGTCAGACTCTCCGGTGCAGCCAGCCCGGTGCGAGCAGCGTGCTGAAACGCCATGCGTCCGCACCGGTGGTAAAATGACAGTGCCGGGACTCTCAGACTCACGCTCGGGGTCGCTCACACCTCTGCTCCTCTTAACACCGTAACGGAGAGGAAAAGCCCTTACCATGGTTTGCCTCTTTCAGGACTGCTTGGGGAAAAAAAGTATAAGCCCTTCTTTTCTTCTGCTGCAGTTTGTGTGCTTTCTTTGTCTTGCATGTCTTCCTGCGGACAGCTGCTCTAGCCTGGCTTCTGCTGCTTTTCTCAAAGTCCGTCGTGTCTGTTCTGTGTCTCGGCTGCATGAAGATGTATTTTCTCTCTAGCTGCTTTGTGCTGATGCGCCCGGTCCCTTCCGCTGGCCCGCTGCGCGGGGTCGTGCATCCGAAGTTGCATGGACCAGAGGACCCGCGCAGCTCTGCGCCTTTGTGAGCGGCTCCGCTGCCTTCCCTCGCGCCCGCGGCCGGCTGGGAATGCCTCGGGGGAACGCCGGCTGCCCCCCTCCCGCCCCCTTCCAGACGAGCCAAGGAGTGGATCCGCGTCCCCGTGGGGTTGGGCTTCATATGTTTGCCTGGCAAGAAACTCGCCTGCGCCCTGAAAGCAGTGCATGAGGTGTCATGGTCCCAGGAGCACTTCTAAACAGTTTGCCCGGGCAAAGGTGTTTCTTTTTCTGAGTGTTAACTGGGATACAAATTAAACCCGGAGCCACAGAGGCGCTGGAAGCTTGTTGTCCATGGTCTGTGCACACAAGAGGAATTGTCTGCCAGCTGATTTGTTGTACTCTGAGCATAATTTTTTGAGTTTCTTTATGGTAATGACTATGATGTGGCAATGCCATCTGTCTTCCTCAGAGTGCCGCTGCTACCGCCTTAACGGTTTTTCCCTTTTCAAGCGTCTGCCGATTCCTCTCTCGTCAGGTTCGCGGATGCTGGAGCAGAGTGTCGGGGAGTGGCTGGAGTCCATTGGCCTGCAGCAATACGAGAGTAAGCTGCTTTTGAACGGCTTTGATGATGTCCGCTTCCTGGTAAGTCTCTGGGTGGGACCCCCGGGCTCTAAGGAACGTCTTGGCCAAACCTTGGCTTGTTATCGACGCCCCGTCTCAGCCGCTGGGCAGGTCTGGGTTCTGCAGCCCAGCAGGACCGGCTTGGGGGGGTGTAGGTTAGACAAAAGGCAGAAATGAGGGTTGTGTTGGGTGAGGGTCCTTCATCTTCACGTTTCATTCCAGTGTTGTAGTATTTTCACTATAATTTTTGATATAACATTTTATTTACTCTGCCCCCTAAGTCTTTACTATCCATTTTACTCTGGAAATGGGAACTGAATTCGCTTATGTTTTGAAGAAATCGCTGAGCAGTCTGTGTTCTGGACTATGAAGGAGGTGGTAGACCTCTTGTTGGAGGTATCCTTACTCTAAGCATGCAGACAGGATGTTAATGAGCTGTACCTAATTGCATTGACACTGTTGGCTCTGAAACCTAATGATGACAAGACAGTAATGCTTAACGTTTTGAGGGGTTTTTTTAATAACCAGTATCTTAAAAGCTGCTTGGTGTAAAAAAACCCGAGAATTGGTACAGAACGATGAACTGCAAAGACAGAAAATCTTGGTGCTGCAGGAGGGTTCTTCCTGCATGGCTTAAAGAAATGCTTTTTGAGTGTGGACTCCAAGTTTTGCCAATAAAGCATTGCTAAAAATGGACGTAAACCTTTGGAGAAGTCATTTGGACCGATGTAATATCCTGCCTCAGAGAGGGAGCGGGGGCATCGCTTTGGTACTGTGGCGGTGATATGCAGGAGGATGTGCGCTTGACAACTGTATTGTGAGCTGGGGGACGGGGGGTCGGAAAACACAGCGGCCGTCCGCCAGTGGTGGGTGTACGTGGGGGGCAGCCGGAGCAGGAAGGGAGGACTGGATGGGGCATGGATGGAGAGGCGAGGAAGCGCGCGTCTGAGCAGCGTCAGGAGGGGTGCTTCGAGGCAGGATGTAGTTACGCTTTGAAAAAATGACCTGACCAACAGGATAAATGTCCTTGTGAATGTCGTGGGATCTCCAAGCACGCCTAAAAGTCGAATTCCGTGGCAGTATGTGGCCGTACCTCCTGGCGTCCACGGCAAGCAGCTTGTTCCCTCGTCTCCCCTTAGCCTGGCAGGGCCGGCGCTCCCCGAGGGAGATGGGTTTTACTGTGGTTTGTGCACCTTTAGGAGAGGAACTGCTGGCGACAGGCGATGCTCTTGCCCCGCTCCCTTCTGCCTCTACCGTCTCCTGTTCCTACAGCTGTGTGGCACCTTCCCTGGGGAGGATTTGGGGTGAGCTGCCCCCACAGAAGCCCCAGGCGCCCTCGCCGGGCTCCAGCGCTGCCCACAGCCGTGCAGGACCAGGGATCGCTCCCACCGCCGCTCCCGGCCCTTCCCGGGGGGCTCCGGCCCCGCAGCGTCCCACCCAGCTGGTCCCAACCCTCTGGTGGCCCCTCGGCCACTGGGACTGCTGTGCTTCAGGCAGGTGCCATCAGCTCCGTGCGAGGTTTCAGCATCCCCTGCACGCCGGGGCGGTCTGATGCAACTTCTGGGCTGCTCTGGAGACGGTACGAGGAATTTAAATGGAATAATACCCCGTAGGGCCCTGCTTGGGATCCTCTGCTGATGGATCTTTGACCTCTGTGGTGTCGGTGGGCCGCTGTCACCGCAGCAGTTAGCAGATAAAAACGCCTTTACCCCAACCTGACGAGCGTGATGACAGACCTCTCTCAGCACAGAAGTTTAATAACGAAGGCAATTAACTTCCCACTTGTCCCCGGAGAGGTAGGAGCTGGAGGCTCGGAAGCAGGAATTTTTATTGACTGTGCTGATTTGCAGTAAATAACAACACTTAGTTGCAAACTCTCTGATGCAGGATTTTGTCGTTTATAAGATGAAAGCAGAGGCTCCGTGTACATATCTCGTAATGTGATTTTTATGGTGTATGGGGTAGGAGTTGCTTTTTAATACCTTTCCCGGCTGGATGTTTTTCTTCCCCATCCAATGCTGGGGTAGGAAATCGGCTTCTGCTGGTTTCGGAGGTGGGACACTCTCCTCACTCATTCCTCTCAATTTTAAAAGGTCAAATAATTTAACGAAGATTTCCTGCAAACCCTGGCTGATTTCCATTTTGCAGCTTATCCCCTTTTACTGGGAAGTTGACTCGGGCAGCCGTGCCAAGACTGGCTTTAAATCCTTTCAGCCGAGTCCTGGGAACTTCAAGCGAATACAGTCAGCCCCGTATGAAATTTTAATTATTAAGACTCTTTTCCTCTGCGGTGTTGCTTGCCTTCAGCTTCTGATGCGGGAGTAAAACCTTCAGATAGAGTACAAACGAGGAACAAGTAGTTAATTTGCTTTCAGTAGTGAGTTTGATGTTCTCAGATGAATTATTCAAGTTGTAAACACTGAAGCTGGCTGGCGCAGGGCGAGTCCTGCATGCCTGGCCCCTGGCGGGGAAGGCTCTCCCTTCCTTTTCTTTTTTACGTAACAATTTCTTTATTAACTGCCCCTTTCGGTCGCTAACGAAGAATATTTCAAAGCAAGTGGCATTATTTTCCTGGAATTAAATGGTTTCTGTGAAAGGATTAGTCCTTATTAGGGCCTCATTATATTAAATATTTCAAGGTCTGAAGAATGGCTGGGTAATGGCTTGCAAATTGCCAGATGGGCTACGAGGCTAATTAAGTCTTAGTAGCAAAAAGGAAGAAGTTGGAGGGTTTTGATGGGGAAACACTCTTGTTTTCTGTGTTAAGATGCTCTTGTTTTCTGTGCTAAGATTTCACGTTGCATTGCTCTCCGCATATAGTGCTGCGGGGTGGTTTTTTTCAGGGCTCCGAGGATGCTCCCCTGGCTGCCGGAGTCCCCAGGGGCCCGTCTGCCGGCAAACCGGCAGCCAGGACACTGGGCAGACCAGAAAAGCATCGCAAGAGCATCGTGTTAGGTGGGCAGTGATGGTCCCGCTGTGAAACGGAGGCAGCGTCCTGGGAGAAGGGCTCTCTAATCTGCTTCTGAAGAACGCTCAGCCCGCCGTAGATAGTAACTTAAAGTAGGATTAAGAAAAGAGGCTGAGAAAGAGCATATCCAGTAACCGCAGTGGGGACCGGGGAAATCCGGTGTTTGGTGGCACAGTGGCATTTGCTGCTCTTCTTCGGTTCAGAAAAATAGATGTTTAAAATGTACTCTCTGCCTGGTGGTGGTGCAGAGTTGGTGAGAGACAAAAACTGGAGGGTGCCGAAGCTCGTACGGTGGGGTTTGGGGCTCTTGTAGCCCGTACTTTAGCCAGTTCGGGTTTCAGGAATTCCTAATTTCCTGTGTATTTTCAGTAGGCTCTCGTGTTAATTTGCACCCTGCGTTACCAAAGCCGTTATTCCCCCAGATTTGGGAAAAAACGATTCCTGGACGTGCAGCGAAGCCATTTTTGAAAAGTGCTCTGTAAATATATTGCGCTTCTTAATGAGATGTTAATCTGGGAAGGCAGAAACACCCATTGTTTCTAAGAGTAATTGTGCCGTTCTGCATAATGCAGAGATTCATTACGAGGTGATGAGCGATACTCTCCGGACACGCGTCCGGCCGTCACGCTGGGGACAGCGCTGTGTGCGCCGCAGCTCCGGCAGCGGGGAGGAGGCGATAACCCCGTGCTTTGACAGCCAGCGTGGGCAGCGGGGAGAGACTTCAGAGACCTGCCGTGTATGTGGAGGAGGCAGGGTTGGAGGTGTAAGCCGTCACGTGAGCCGTGACCGTTTGACAGGTTTCCCTATAGAAAGGGAAGGTGGAAGTGTGTATTAGCGGATAGCTGGGGTGGGCTGGGGGTGTCGAGCTGAGGCTTCTCTGCTCTTGGGAGTTCCAGCTCTGCAGCTGGGACAAGGTTTTAGCAATCAGCTCTGGCAGGACCCCTTAGAAGCAGAATGGTGTAGGTTGCAAGGGACCTTGAAAATCATCTTGTTCCTCCCCCCTGCCCTGGGCAGGGACACCTCCCCCCAGCCCAGGTTGCTCCAAGCCCCGTCCAACCTGGCCTTGAACACCTCCAGGGATGGGGCAGCCACAGCTTCTCGGGGCAACCTGCCCCAGGGGCTCACCACCCTCACAGTCAACAATTTCTTCCTAATGTTTAATCTAAATCTGCCCTCTTCCAATTTGAAGCCATTCCCCCTCGTCCTATCACTCCATGCCCTTGTGAAAAGTCCCTCCCCAGCTCTCCTGGAGCCCCTTTAGGCACTGGAAGGGGCTCAGAGGTCTCCCTGGAGCCTTCTCTTCTCCAGGCTGAACCCCCCCAACTCTCCCAGCCTGTTGAATCATGGAATTGTCTGGTTGGAAGGGACCTTTAAGATGATCGAGTCCAACCATCAACCCTTGCCCACAAGCGTGTGAGATCAGCACTTTGCTTGTCAGCAAACTACAAGTTGCTGTTGCGGTTCAGGTCTGCTTTGGTGAGAGCGCGATGACTGCAGTCAGGACCGACCCGCTGGGCGTCTCTGCCGGCGCTGTTTCTCTTTTGAGGGAATACGGGACAAATTATAGAGTGTTACTTGTGGCACCGTTTGGTTGTGAGCGGTGTCGGGCAGGGCTTGTGGGGAATGTTCCCGCTTTCGGAACTTGCAGAGATTTTTTTTTCAGGGCTGGTGAATTGGTTATCGGGGAGGAACAAGGCGACACAGCCATGGTGAGGAGAAGGGAAGTGTTGACGGATAATCGCAGTGGCTGTCGTCCCGCCCGGCCGCAGCTACGGGGTGGTTTAGGAGCTGGAGCTGGGAGAGTTTGCAGCACTGCCCTCACTGACGTGTTGCTTTGTTCCAACGGTGAACGCGGAGTTTCTGCATGTTCCCGCGATGTAAAATTCTTTTTAAATCTGCAAAAGAAAACAAAGTGCAGCATTTGATAGGGCTCGCGAGAGCATCCCGGTGACGCTGGCTGGTTTCACGGTCAAGTGCAAACCCAGGAACGTTGATGTCTAGTTCAGAGTAAAGGCTCTTGATCAAGTATTGGCTTCGGCTAACACAAGTCAGC